TTCTATTAGTATTTAGTATGCTATAAACGTTACTTTAAGGAAACGCTCGTTACTTTTGAAAAGAGAACACATTACTCGTTACTTAAATAAATACTAAATTTTCTTTTATTTCTAAAAATAATTTATTAGCGTTTGATAATTTTTTTAACAATTTATTTTCAAAATTTTTATGAGTGCTTAGTGATCAAATATATTAGCTGTGCTAAATACAGGTTAAACTGCGCAGAGAATGGGATGGCGGTATTATATTTAATAAATTTTAATTGGGGCGATTTATTTAAAATATTTAAAGAATGATCTTTATTTTCAGATCTTCACGAGAGTCTTTATTTAGATCCTCATCAATTTTTTAAAACGTTTATCAGAATTCAATCTGAATTCGTAGTTTTACTATCAAATGTTTTTATAGATTTGAGCTGCTGGATATCAAGGTTGATATATTTGAATTTGGGCACAATCTACACTTACAAAGTATAGACTTAGTGACCTTTTACTTTAATTGTGTAAGAAATGTTTCATACTGGGGCCAGGATAGAATTAAATTATCTTCATTTGAAAAAAATAAGTACTACTGATTATTTTTTTCTAAAATAAATAATAATCATAGAGCATATAAATTAACATAATTTGATTGATTCGATATAAGATTAAAAAGTAAAAGCAGCGGCGTTCTTGCTACTCTAAGAGGGGTGATGTAATATACACTTCAAATTATTACAGCGAGGAGTGATACACCCCCATAAGTTATACTCCTATATCATTTTGATGCACCTTCCTCCTTGTTTACCTTGGTTATTGGGTTTGGAGACAGTGAATTTTAATGGTTTGATAAGTTTAAGGTACTATAGTAAGGTTTTTGATAGAAAATTTTAGTTACTTAGTAACTAATCTTGACTATATAATTCAATAAAAATGTTAAATAAAATAAAGATGAAGAACTTTGGTGGTTGATCTGAATTAAAATCCCGATTTAAATTATTTTAAAATGCATTTGTAACAGACTCAACATTCCTTTTTCATTACTAATGAAGCAAATGTCATACTGATGATTACAGTATGGCGTTGCAACCTTTACATTGAAATCGTAATCTCGGAGGGCAAACCCTTGCTTGGACACGAGCTCCCCTTCCAATTTTAACAAAGACGCTCTAAATAGAGCTCATAATTTGAAGGTCACCAAAGCCCCACGGATTCTTCAAATTACATATTCGTCTTAAACAGCATATCGGGATTTGCCTAAAAATTTCTTTGACCACGTCGGTTGCCAAATCAGGAAACATCGGGGGAGCCCCGTGAAGGCTTACTTAAGGCAGAGGGCAATAACTATTCTAAGGCATTATGTTTCATTAATTAGCACCTCTTTTATCTATGTATAGCAATCTTTAAACTATATTGTTATATCCATAATACCATATAAACTATATATATAACAATGATTATACCTAAATTTTAACATTTTAAATTATGATATTTATCTATATTCTTTTAGAAGAATTTTTAGGTACCATTTTGAGTTACCGTTACTCAAAATAAAGAAACGCACTACTCGTTACCCTCTGAAATGGGTAACGAATGGCGTTCCTCTCAGAAAAGGTATCGTCGCTAATAACGACGTTACTTTACGCACTAGTATTCAGTAGTGTATGTAAATGCCAAAAACCTTAAACATTTGAACTTGAACAGACAGACAGCAGCGTCCAAGCCAACTTCTGCAAAAAAAATTTCCGCAGATAGGAGGCATCATTATTTTAGCGAGAAGTCTTTGTATGTCTTAAGCAGAACGCTTTTTTTGTTCCGCCAAGATTAAAAAAATTGGCTCTTTATTTTCAAATAAATCAGCGATGGTATTTAAAAGTGAAATCTTAAAATATCATGTACACAAAAAAAATATAGTAATGTAAGGTAAGCGTTGTTAAACGGCTCGATTTTTAAAACGGTTTAATATTACATAAGCTTGTAGATTTTGCTCATAGATGGTATAAAGATTTGGACATCAGTTAACGAAATCTCGAGGCTTATGTAATATTATTTTGGCTAAAATCTTAATTTAAAATGGGTTAATTCGACCGTTTAACAATACTAATTCAATGTAAGGTTTAGAAAATAGGTGCTTAAATAAACATCACTTGAAACCAAGGCCATAGCAATGGGGGGGGGCAGTCCCCCAGAAAAATTTTTGGCCCCTAAACCTGGCCCCCCGAAAAATATTTGGCCCCCAAATTTAAAAAAATTATTATAGTTAGTTATTAAAATTTAATTAACCATTAAAAATTAAATCTCAATGAAAATGCAACAAAAGTTTTAGAATAAATATTATTTATTTATTTTATACAAATTAATAAACAAGTTGTGAAAACCTGAGCATAATATTCGTTATATTTTTTGTGGAAATATCCAAGAAAATTTAATAGAAATCATTAATTTGTAATATCTTTAATTGTATTTTAAAGCAACTTAATGAATTAATTAATTCTTTGAATATGGTGCAAACGTCATGTCTGGCCGAAATGGATGAGTACAAACTCTGTTTCAAAAAATTAATAAAAAGTGCTTTATATACACATTGCTACAAGTGATAAAAAATTGCTCCATTTGAGCCAATTTTTAAAAACGGCTAACTCAATATTTTAACTCAGGAAAATATTGTCTAAGCCTCGCGATTTCGATAATAAATGTTCAAACCTGGCTACACCTATGAGTAAAATCTTTAGGCTTGTGTAATATTTTTCTGGATTAAATACTGATTTCGCCGTTTTTAAAAATCGGCTAAAATGAGGCGATTTTAAATTATTACTAATTTTTTTAATTTAACTAATGCATTTTTAGCCGTTTTAATGTATCCTGTAAATATACAGGCCATCTTAAGAGATAGGCCAGAGGTGGTTAGTTCATTTAAAACCATCTCGTATCATTTATGAGAATTTTGAAGTTATTGGTGAAATTATTTTACTTTTCCAATAGAACTCTTAACTCCGAGATTTCCACTCATGATTCAATCGAAGCCTCTGCTCTTTTAGCACAATGCGTTAATATAAATTACATTATATTGGTCATTTAAATTTATGAGGTATTAATAACAATAAATTAGATCCACTAAATAAGTATCTATGTCAGTAGGTACTAATAGATGCTAAAAATTGTATTGATTCCACAATTAATATATTTAAAAAAAAATAAAGTTATAATTCTTTTGATTTGATAAAAATTAAGGCTGAAAAACTTATATCAAAATTTAATCTCATCCCTCAATACTCATCAATCTTGAATTTTTTTTAGTCGATACCAAATTTCAATTTAATTGTGAAAAGGATTTCAATTGTAATTGTTTAAAAATGAATTATTATAATTATAGATTACTTGTAGATCGTTTTTTAGATAGATTTACATAAGTTGAATATAATCTTCTATCATATTTTAATATATCGTCCCCCCTTGACCCTAATTATTTTATATCAGATAAAATGACCACATTAGAATCATTATCAAACTTAAATATGGAAACTTAACATCATGAAATGAAAATAACAAGAGAATTAATAGCTGCAGAAGTTAAAGAAAGATAATTTTGAAAATATCGTAAATATTATGTATAAAAAAATATCATTTTGCATTTAAATGATTGCATAAATGCAACTCAGCAGCAATCATCGTATATCAACGCCTTTTTGTGGGGGCTCATTTTCTACACTAAAGAGAGTTCTATCACTAGAGAATCGATGAAAGATAGATATAAACAAAATTTACAATTAAAATGGCATATGTAAAAAAATAACACAGAATTTAGCTTTTAATTCATTTATGATAAAATTTTAAAATAAAAATGGTCTTTTACAAATTTTCACTAAAAATAGCAAAAAATTTCTGAGTGTCTAAGTATTTGTTTTATTTCAAAATAATCCCCCCCCCCCATCTAGAAGTTCCTGGTAACGGCCCTGCTTGACACCATTATGATGTTTCTTTTACATGATATTTAATTCATCTCAATAGATAATTAAAATAGGATAGAATTGTCAATTGAGTATAGGGACAATCCATTTTTGCCAACCCTTGTAAAAACTTAATCACAAAAAAAAGCAAGTCAAATCGTTTAAAGTAGGCCACTTAATTCATGAATACTATAATTAGTAAATTATTTTAAGAACTTATAATCATTCAATTTTATATTTTAATAATAATAAATAAGTTATATTTTAATAAAAAATTTAAAACAGCACCTGAAATAAAAAGATCACATGATACAAAACGCGGCACGCATTTTGTATTATATTATTTATTTTGTTCATGTGTATTTTTTAAAAAATTATTTTAAATGATAAAAAATAAAAACACACAAAATAAAAAAGTAAATAATTGAATATTGTTGACGTTTTAATATTAAATATAGTAAAAACGTAATTAATATATAAGAATTATCTTTTACATATAAAATTAAGCAGGTATGCTAAAATTAGAATGAATTGATAAAGTAGTCATTAAGCCAACTCCCAATAGGACTTATCCAAGCATTTCGCCTAAAAAAGATTGACTTAAACTATTGAGAAGAAATTCTAAGAAAAAAAATGAGTTTGTAGAAATTATATTATCCAACATTGGACATCCATATTTATTATGGAAAGTTAAACTAATTGTAGAGGTTGTGGTGACTAATAATCAACAACTTAATTTATTGACCTTAAATTTTAAAATCACTTTTAAGTAGTGTTGCAGTTGAAACGGCTCGATTTGAGCTATTTTTAAAACGGCTAACTCAATATTTTAGCCAGAATTTACTCTGAGATTTCTCTAATAGATGTCCATACCTTACGTAATATTTTTCTGAATAAAATATTGAGTCCGTTTTTAAAAATCGGCTCGAAACGAGCCGTTTAACAACACTACTGTTAAGGTCGCCTTTATTGTAAGACGTAAATGGCAGTATCGTGCTTATTCTGAAAGTGGTCTTAGTCAATGGCCAGCCTTTTTAAAAGTTTCAAATTGTAATGTTGTAATAAAAAAATTACTTTTCTCTAGCCTGAGCATCGGAGGGCACATTGTTGCCTTTACCTTTTGAATACATCATGAATTCATAGGATTATTGGGATTTTTTGACATTTTTTTTTGCTATATAATAGATTTTTTTTGGAATAATTTACCAATGAATATCGAATATAAATGATAGGGATGTGTTTGCAATGAAATTTCAAGATAATTTTTTTAGCTTTGGGACTTTGTAAAATTTATCACCATCCAAATTCTTCATTTTGCTTTAAAAAAATTTTTTTAGACAAATCACATTTGTATATGTCCTGTGTTTTTTTTTGGTGATTTTATACTAGTTTCAAAAAAAAAATTTGTTTTTTTCTAACAAATTATCATTTCTTTTTAAAAAAAACCCAATATGTTTTTTATTTTAATTTTTAATGTATATAATATTTACATCTTCATTTTATTTTTATAGTAAAAAATTATAAAACTTATTATTTATTTATTTAATTTATTACTCGATATTTATAATTTAATGCAAAAAAATAATCATAAAATTAAATTTATATGTAAAAATATAATTATTTTAAAAAAATATAATATTTACTAAAATTAAAAAATAGAAAGAATAAAAATAAAGATTTTCATTATTCTTTGAATTCATTATTTTAAAAACAATAAAATGAAGAATAAAATAATGAAGTATGCATTTTTTTGTTTTTTCTACTTATTTTGTTTACGAAATGAAATCAATAAAATCAAATTTTATTTATTTATAAAAAAAATATTATGTAAAAAAAATAAAAACCTGTTTAATTGATCTTTTATGTTATAAGCAAACAGGACTTAACTCAGTTTCTACTAATTGGCGCTCCGGAACAAACAAATTATTTATTTTATGATTTCCTAAAATTTGAGATAAAAATAAAATCCTTATGAGTGCTCATTCATTAAGAATTTGCAACGATGATTTGAGAGGATTATAGATGATCGATTTCCAAAATGAATAATAAATTAAATGTTATTGATAGATACTAGATTATTAGTTAATTTACTAAATAATATCATATGTAAATATTGAATTGAATCTCTCTAATTTAATTAATAAAATAATAAGCATTTGATGAATATATTAATTTTTTATGATTTATTTACTTAATTTAATAAAATCTATCTTTTTTATGATTTTGTAAGGGTCCTTTGAATAATCAATGGCGTAACCAAGTGGGCTGTGCCGCAGCCGGGCTCAGACCATATACCGAAAATCAAATCCAAAACAATTTTTCTCGTTACTTTACTAATTTAATTTATATCAGAGACCTGCAGAGATACCATTTACGGTTTTTTTAAAAAAAACAATTTGGCCGGTCAGACTTGGCCCGGATTTTTTAAAAATATATTACATTTATTTTTAATTTTTATAGCTAATGTCTATATAAATGTTCGGTTTTAAAATGGCCCGGGTATTTTTTTTAAAAAAATTTTTTAGGCCCGGCCTGGAAGAAAGATTAAAAAGTCTCTGATTTATATATATAAAAAATTAAACATAGAAGATTGGATTAAACGCTTCGAAACCTGTTGAATTTTTTTTTTTATAAATCTATTAATTATTGATTCCGTTTTAAAGTAGTTGGTTATTTTTTTTTTGAATGAATTCATTAATTAATTTTTAGAAACTGGTAAGCAGAACTTACTGATCTGAAAAATGTTAACTCTCTATTTATATCAGAGATAGGCAAGACCCGGTTCTCGAAAATTTACACAAATTTATAACATGCCATATTTAGCCATTTGTACATAAAACTTTAACAAGTCGAACCGATGCATTGACATTGGGAAAAGATTAGATATATTTTGATATAGACAATTAATATTTGATAAGTGGAAATAAGGTTGTTAAAAATTGATTTTTAAAAACGACCCGATTAAGATTTTAGTCAAAAAAAAATTATGTAAGTTTCGACATTAGGCAAATAGAGGTCCAAAGCCATCTTAGATCAAAATCTCCAGGCTTTCATAGTAATATTTCTGTTAAAATCTAAATCTGCTCATTTTAAAAAATAGAGCCGAATCGGGCCTTTTGACAATCCTATGAGGAAAATTGATACAAAAATATTTAACGGTCTACAAGCGACTTTTATAAAATTTTAACGGGCTGAGTTCGTAAAATTTTAAAGGCCTAATCCGAAAAATTATTTAAAAATCCTATCTGGACGAGCCGGACAAACATTTAAATAATGGGCAGGGCCTTTCACATCTCCGATTTCTATTGGTAAATCGTTTTACATTTTGAAATTTTATTTTTGAATGATAATATGAAAGTTTGTGATCCTTTGGTTGAATTTTTAAAATTGCAGTAAATTTTCTGGAAGTTTGATAAATATGTTGCATATCATTTTTTCAAAAAAATAGCGGTAGTCTCCTACTCAATATAGGAAATTGGGCAGCTCTGGTTAGGATCCAATATAATTTTAAATTCTATGAATTAGCTAGCTAGAAGATCATATCAGGGATAATTTAAACATTTTTCCTAATTTATACTCTCCTTTTTGAAACCATATATTAGTTATACGACCAAAATTATTTCAACCAAATTTTAACATACCGGTGAAATCATAAAATAAAACCTTCCTGGGAAAGAAATAAAATTCCCAAGTTTTAGAAACTATTGCTAGGGAATAAAATGGTAAAATTTTAAAAACCAAGGCTCAGCAAAAATTTTTTTGAATGTTTCTTCTTTTATTTACAGGACCTCACCAAGATTTTTGGCAGCTCGGTGCGAAAATGAATATGAAGCCCTTTAAATTATTTAATTAAGCTATAAAAAAATCATTAAAAAGATGTCTCAAATTGAGCCGATTTTTAAAAAGGCTAATTCAATATTTTAGCCAGAAAAATATTGTCTAAGTCTTAAGATTTCGCTAATAGATGTCCAAATTTTTATGCCATCTATGACTTTAGGCTCACATAATATTTTTTTGACTGAAATATTAAGTTAGCCATTTTTAAAAATCAGCTCAATTCGAGCTGTTTAACAAAACTAGTTACATGAATAAGCAACTTATAATATGCCTAAAAATATGATACTTCTTCGACATTTTAATTAGTTCGTATATTAAAACTATGATTATAACTCTAAGAAAAATAAAATATTCGACGAATAATAATTTTTTAACGATTAGATCGAACTATTAGTATTTTATAAAATTATTCAAAAATATTCTAAATTTATTTAAAAATTTGAATTTTTTTGAAATTATTCGTAAGTAATTCAAATTAATCAGTATTCATTATGTTCCTTGAAGAAGTTTCCATTTTTTTAAATTTATTTCCAAAATTTAATGATTCTTTTTTCAACTTCTGAAAATATTTTTAAAAAAATTAATTTTTAAATCTATTGAATTGAATAATGATGTAAAAATATTTAATATATCGTAAGAATATGAAAATAACCCGTATTTGGGGGCCATCATAGTCACGAGAGTGGTAGGCCCATAAAAATTCTTTGACCCGCAAACCTACTCCCTCGAAAAAAATTCTGGCCCTTAAATTAAAAAAAATTTATTAAATTTTAATTCACCATTAACAATTAAATTTAAATTAAAATACAATAAATGTTTAATTTTTTAATTTATACAAATTAATAAACAAGTTGTGAAAACCTGAACATAATTATTTCTTATATCTTTTGTGGAGAAATCTAATATTTAATAGAAATCATTAATTTACAATATCTTTCTGCTGAAAGCATTACTAATTGTATTTTTAAGCAGCTTAATAAATTAATTATTAATTCATCGAATAAAATAACCTAGGCATATGATGTGCAAAAGTCATGTTTAGCTGAAATGGAGGAGTACAAACCTTGGTTCAAAAAAAATTTTAAGTGTCTTATATACATTGCTACAACCACAAGTTTTGTGGTTCAAAATTGGTATAATAATATTGTCATTTTTAATTTTTTTAATTTATCTAATGCATTGTATAATATTTTTAGGAGTTTAAACATATCCTGTAATTACACAGGCCTTACTCTTAAGAGAGGTTTAGACCAGAGATGGACTGGCCATTTAGAAACATCTCATATCATTTATAAAAATTTTATGGCTATTAGTGAAATTATGATTCTTTTATAATAGAACTCTTAACACAGAGGTTTCCACTCATGATTCAGTCGAAGCCTCTGGTCTTTTATCTCAATGCGTAATTACATTATATTGTTATTGGCCATTTTAATTTATGAGGTATTAATAACAATAGACCCATTTAAGTATCTACAGTCACTAGATACTTTTATAGTGGATGTTAAAAATTGTAATGATTCCACAATTAATATATTAAAAAATAAAAGAAGTGATAATTCTTTTGATGTAATAAGAATTAGTGATCTGCATCGGGCCTAATTTTTCAAACCCGGCCCGAACCCGAAATTTTTTTAAAAAGTTTTGCCGACCCGGCCCGAACCCGAAATTTATTTAAAAAAAATTTACAGGCCTGGCAAGGTCCTAATTTATTTAAATATAGAAATTAATTTTTATAATTACCTAAAATAAAAGACATGTGTTATATAGCGTTTAGTTTCAATAAATTAAATCAAAAATTTTTATTTTACATAAAAAATTCAATATAAAATTGATAAACTTAGATATATTTAATAAAATTTCCAAAGTCCAACCCGACCCGGCCCGAAATTTTTTTAAAAATATTAGGCCCGCCCGAACCCGCGAGCCGGGTATGGGCGGGCCTAACTTTGCAGATCTCTTATAAGAATTAAGGCTGATAAAATAACATCGAAATTTACATACCTCAAAAATTATCAAGGGTACGTAATATGGCCCACAAAACTTCAAGATTTTTTAGTCGATGCCATATAGCTTGATTGTGAAAAGGACTTTAATTGGATTTCTATAAAAAAAGAATTATTATAAAATTATTGATTACTCTGTAGCAGAGACCTTCATTGCCAGGTCGGCTCGCGGCCCGCAGGCCCATACCCGGCCCATATTATATTTTCTAGCTGGCCTGGGCCAGGCCTGGATTAAAAAAAAATGGGCTCGGGCTGGGCTTGGGCCTAAAAGTATTAAATTTAAATTTTGATAATTAAAACAGTTGCTAATTTAAAGAAATATTGCCTTTTTTCCTTCTAATAATAATTAATTTCAGTATTGTAAACAAAATGATTGCCTAAATATATTTAAATATTGTTTATTTTCATTAAATAAATAAATATTAAATTTTGGACATGGGCTTGGGCCGAGTTTGGAAAAATTTTTTAAAACTTAGC